AGATTTCCAAATGTTGATTATCCAGTTTTTAACTTCAACTCCCAGCAGCCTGAGTTGGCTTGTTCAATAGTTAGGGATTTTAGAACTCAGAAACTTCAGAGTTCTTAAATGTATAGTTACTTAGACAATAAGTATAAAAAGATTTCTGTTTGTTAGAGCTCATATTGGTTTGCACTTTGTACTTTATTTTGCTGTATTGTATCTTGCATAGCCTCATGTTAGCCGCCCCGAGTCCCTTCAGGGAGATGGTGGCGGGGTATAAATAAAGATTATTATTATTCTCAGCTTCATATCTTGCATTTAACAAATTAGGTTTAGTGATTATCCACTGTACCCTAGAGCTATTTCTCAAGTCAAATTTATGACATATGTATCTCCAAAGAAGAGAAAAGGGAGTTAATTGCAGGGAAAACACATTCTCATTAATGCCGCTTTGTGTCTCATTTAAGAGAAGATGGGGTATAAAAAAACATAAGCATTATTATTATTTCACCCCAAGTCATTTACTGAGGACACTGATGGGCAATTATGCAGTATGATTGTACTTATGCAACAATTACACATGAGGAACTCTGCTCATGCAATTGTGGACTCCATAAGGACATAATTCCATGGCTAAAAACTAACCATTGAAACAACAAGAGGTTGCTAGCTTCCATTGGACAGCACATTACAGTGAGGCCTAGATAGCAGTGAAGAATGCTGGGAATTGTAGTCCAACAATCTTGCTAGGGTTGCATAATCCTCATTCTGGCTTTGAAACTCACTTGTTGACAGTTTTTTCACAGAAAATCCTTTTCTTCATAGCCGTAAACTACGATTCCAGTAACTAGGGCTTGTCCTGAAATCCTGCTTAACAAAAATAAGAAATCTTTTCCTTAATAGCATTTCAGTTCCATAAAGGTCATTTTCCTGTTCCATGGTGCTTTATTATTCTGTTTTTAAAAGAATGCAAAGATAATCTCTGTATCAATAGAAGCACTCACATTATATAAATCTGTAAACTTAATAGTGAAATTCCGACTTTAATGTGGCACCCAGGGATCAATTGAAATATGTGCATCGTCCCCATAAAACTCTCAGCAGGTAGCTTGAACACAATGTATTCAAGTGCGGAAAAGGAAGTTGAAATGGATTTTCTGAATATACAGCAACTGTTAGCGATGTTGCATAAGTTCTAATCCTTTCTCGGAGTCTCTGCCTTGGAGTCCCTGTGCTTGTATGGTTGTCTGAACCCAAGCCTGAATGAAGCAAGGAGGGAAATGGGTGCTAAAACAGCTGTAACAGCTAAGTCATATTTTGGGAGGTGCTTGCTGGCTTCCATTACTGGTGCCATGGCCACAATAGGATTTGGAGGCACTATGGAAACATCTAAACTGTAAAATTAATGCAGTTTAACATCATTTTAACAGCCATGGCACAATGTTATGGAATCCTGGAATTTGTAATTTAGTGAAACACCAATACTCTTTGGCAGAGAAAACTTGTAATAGTACAGTTCCTATAATTCCATATCATTGAGTGATGCATTAATTCTATAGTATAGTTGCAGAGCTGGCCCTATCATTAGAGGGAACTCTCATACGACACAATTATGGCACTTTAATACCACTTTAATTGCTAATTTAAGAGCCGGTGAGGCCCTGCTCTCGATCCCGTCTTTTTCGCAAACGCGTTTGGTGGGGATGAGAGACAGGGCCTTCTCGATGGTGGTCTCTGGAAAATGCTCCCCAGTGAGGTTAGGTCAGCTGCATCCTTCCTCTCCTTTAGGAAGAAGCTTAAATCATGGTTTTGGGACCAGGCATTTGGGTAGTAGGTTTGGCAGCAATTGTAATGTTTAAGAATCTGACTATGGACTGGCTTTGGACTGGGTTTTGGGATGCTGAATCAGATTCGGATATGGCTAAATGGTTGATAATAATGTTTTAAAGGGATTTTCAACTTAATGTTTTACCTATTGTGTAATGGTGTGTTGTATTGTGTTTTGCTTTGTACTGGCATCGAATTGTTGCCGATTGTAAGCCACCCTGAGTCCCCCCTCAGGGGTTGAGAAGGACAGGGTACAAATGTTTGAAATAATAATAATAATAATAATAATAATAATAATAATAATATGGGCTGCCTCCTATGGAATCCTAGAATTTGTGGTTTGGTGCTTGACCTCTCTGGCAGACAATAAAACATCTAATAAAACTATACATCCCAGAATTCAATATAGTGGAGACATGGCAGTTGAAGTATCACACTACTGCATGTGGACTTTCCATTCCATGTTCATTCACTTCTATAGGGAAAATGATGTGTGCTTGAGACAGCAACAGGATTCACAAACAGTACCTCAAGAAAAGGATTACTTAATTATTTCACTTTGTATCTTACTTTTGATTTTTTCCTTCCTTAGCATCCCACCTACCAATGGCTGCCAAACTTTATGTTCTCATCAGCTGGCCAGATGGGAGCCGTGTCATCAGCATTGAAAACATCAAGGAACCACGAAAGTCCTTCCACTTGTACAGAGTTGGTGAGCAGGTTTTGGCCCGATGCCCAGGCTTCAGTGGTTTGTACTGGGGGATTGTCGAAGGAATCAGTGGTAAGTACCAGTGTCCCATACATTATATCTTTGAATTTATTTATTCATTTGATATATCATGAATTTGTAGATTTGTTTATTGGATATATTTATATCCTCACTTTCACCTAAGATGAGATTCTAAGCAGCTAATAACATTTTATAAAAAGCTTATAACAAGATTACCCTAAAACATGGAGCCCCCGGTGGCGCAGTGGGTTAAACCCCTGTGTCGGCAGGACTGAAGACCAATAGGTCGCAGGCTCGAATCCGGGGAGAGGCGGATGAGCTCCCTCTGTCAGCTCCAGCTCCTCATGCGGGACATGAGAGAAGCCTCCCACAAGGATGATAAAAACATCAAATCATCCAGGCATCCCCTGGGCAACGTCCTTGCAGACAACCAATTCTCCCACACCAGAAGCGACTTGCAGTTTCTCAAGTCGCTTCTGACACGACAACCTCCCCCCAAAAAAACCCTAAAACATAAATTTACAATAGTTTTAAAGGAAATTAACAACTATCCTATTTTTTTTTTAAAAAAATTAAAGCCATTAACATATTAAAACATATTTAAAACATAATTTCCAGCAAAAAAAAGTGTAGCATACCACATGTCTTCACCTCTATGCATGTTCTACTGATGTCAGAAATCTGTAGGGCAGGAACATCATAGCTTGATTTTGAAGTTAATTAGTGCAGCATTATTATGTCTCTCTCCATCTTAGCCTTATGAACTGAGTAAAAGGTAAAGGTTTCCCCTTGACATTAACTCTAGTCAAGTTCGACTGGGGGCGGTGCTTATCTCCATTTCTAAGCTAAAGAGCTGGCATTGTCCTTAGACGCATCCTAGGTCATGTGGCTGGCATGACTGCATGGAGCACCATTACCTTCCTGCCAAAGTGGTACCTATTAATCTACTCACATTTGCATATTTTCAAGCTGGTAGGTTGGCAGAAGCTGGGGCTAACAACAAGAGCTCACCCCGTCCCATGGATTCAAATTGACAATTTTATTGAAAAATCAATTTAGGCACAATTTAGTAACTGCTATACTGTTTGTACTTAATTTTTTACATGCATTCACTCAGAACTAACATTTAAAATCCCTTTCTTCCAACAGAGCATAAATATGTTCTGGAGCGAAAACTACAAAAAGATAAAGAACTCCTAGAGATGTTGGGTAAGCAGAGATCTTGGAAGTGTTTTTTCTGAAGTGGTGGATTCTTTCTAGAACCACAGAATTCAGGCATGGCATATCTTATTTAAATCTCACATCTGGGTGTATACACATTACACAAATATGTTGATTTCTAGAGGATGTTGAATTCCAGATGCTATTATCTACAGTCAGAATAGTTTATGATAAAGGTTAATAGGAATTGCATTCCAGCAACATCTGGAAGGATACAGTTTCCTCTATCCCAATACAGAGATTGCATATTGAGCAAATAATATTGGTGGGGGCAATGACAAGTATAGATAGACTACTGTCAAAATGCATTCTATTGCTTGTCTTGAAGAAATGTGGAAACATTCTCCACAGAAAGTTAGATGATGAAGAACTCCTGCCAACATTTATTTATTATTTATTTATTTACGAAATTTATATGCTGCCCTTCTCACCCCGAAGGGGACTCAGAGTGGCTTACAAGTCATAAGTACATACAACATACAACATACTACATAATACATAACTAGCATAGTACTATTACATCATTCATAACACTAGTACATAATATTACATTATTGCTAGGGGAGGGGCGCTGATGTCACAGGGGACAAGATGGCAATGTCCTCCTGGCTCCCCTTCTTTATTCTGGCCCCAGATGGGCTAAATAAATAGTTATCACATGAAACACTATGTTGTTGTGCACAGTAGCATAATGACCCTGCCACACAGCCACATAACTCAGAATATCAAGGCAGAAAAACCCACAATATTGGCTTTGAACTGAGTTATCTGAGTCCACACTGGCATATTTCCCAGTTCAAAGCAGTTAACGTGGGATTTTATTCAACTGTGTGGAAGGGGCCTCAGATGGATAGATTTGGAACCATAGTGGTTTGAACAATAGGATCATGGAGTTGGAAGAGACCCAAAAACCATCTAGTCTAACTTCTTTCTATGCAAGAAGACATAATCAAAGCACTCTCAACAGATGGCTACCCTGCCTATGATTGAAAAACTTCAAAGAAGGAGACTCTACTACAATCTCAGGCATCATATTCCAACATTAGTGGCTTTTACACTAGTGGAACAAGACGATCTCAAGATGGTCCTTCAGATAACCTATTGGATCAACAGAAATAGAACACCACAGCTACCATAGGCAGTTGTCATGCTAGTGAGGGGACTTCCTGAGTTACTGTTACATGTTCTGCTTAGTCTATAATGTATGCAACTTCATACTACTTTCTTGGTTTCAGAAGAGCACCCAAATGTGCCAAATTGGGGGGCCACCCAGCCCAAAAAGTCAAGGAAGATCTTTCCCAAATGGAATCCAGGATCTGGTTTGAGGAAATGTAACAAGGATAAATCCTTCAGGATGGTGGAGGAAGCTGGAAAATCACATTTCCAGCAAGAACCTCCTCTGTCTTCTGGTCTACAAGAGGGATACAACCATAGTGCCATAATGAAGACCTATTCCTCCGAGTCAGTGATTCCCCAGTCTCCGAGTCCTTTTCAGACATCGCCTTCTTTCCTATCCTTATCTGCAAGTGGAGTATCTCAAAGAAGTGCAACAAGGGTGAACCGAGGAAGCCGAGGTAAGATGACAGAGATGTCTGCACAAAAAAATCAAGGTGCAGAAAATATTTTCCATGCATAAATGACTACACCAGGGGTGGTTGGTGGCTCCAATAGTAAGTGAGATGGAGAATCTGTGATGGGTTAAAGTCCAATCAGTAAAAGATCTATCCAAGGCTCCAAACCTGTTCTAAGCCTAGGGTTCAAAATCTTGGTCCAGCTGGAACTGGAGTGGATGGGATTGGAGCCACCAGACATTATTGAATTATGTCTTCAAGTGGTTTTCATGCTGAGTTTGCAGTAATAGGCAACCAAAATGAACTTCAACTTGTGATGCAAGGTTACAACTATTATAACTATTGAGGCCGTACATTGTAAAAAAATAACTAAAAAGGGAAACTTGACTGAGGAATAACACACACAACCTCATCACATGGGCAAAATTGCCCATTCTACAACACTTTCCTCTCAGTTCAGGGACTTAGCCCACTGGATCCCATCAGATATACTTCCGGGGGGCTCCCTCCCTCAACTGAGGTAAAAGTGTCATAAGAGAGAGCAAGGAGAACATGGGAAGCAGGGCAGAATTATTCCCCCCATGAGATAGATAAGGGGCGATGCAGGTAATGTGCGGGGCAACAGGTTTCCCATGCTGTCCACTAGATTTGCCATGCTGCATGATGAGTCCCCCTACTATCACCCACAATTTTGACCTCAATGTGCTAAAGTTTACAGACAGTAACTACCTTATTATAAATGTCGTGAACCAGAGCCCAAAGATTGTCCAACACAGCTAATAAGGGGTTAACAGAGTCTTAAATGAGTCTCTAACAAGGCTAACAGCACTTAAACTGCAGTACTGATTAGCAAAACAAAAGCCTTCAAGCAGGTAAACAAAGAGGGGAGGAAAAGCCCGGATATCCCAGAACTCAGCTTCTCAAAAAAGGAAAGCAGGAGCAAAACTGATGGTGGCAATAGCGTAGTCAAAACAGTCCTAGGTCAAACACGGAGAAAGGCAGCAAACAAAGTCCAGTAGGCAGATGGCGTGGTCCAGAAACGTTCCGTAGTCAGGGGCAAGACGAAGTCACTCACGTAGTCCAATCCAGAGTCGAGGCACACGAAGACACGATAGCTGTATTCCCAGGACCCAAACGGAGGTAAGGCAGCACAAAACACCCGATACAACGCTTTGTCCTCTGCAAAGCTACACATCCCAAAGCCCTCATTTTATTAGCAGTCGCTATCGCTGGATTGACTATCATCACTTGCACCTGGATCATTATCTTCAGCTGCTGGCTCATTACTTCGCCAGCGTTGCCAACGTTGATCTTGTCCAGAATCCCCCCAAGACGTACCTGCCTGCCATGTATCTTGGAACCCCTCGAACTCGTCGCTAGATGTGGGCTGTGTACATATGTCCTGAATTTCTCTAACACGAGTCCAGTCCAGCCCCTCTTCCATTTCCCCATCACTGGCTCCCTGTTCATCCGAACTGCAATTGTCAGCTATATCTTTAAGCCGTTTACTCATTACTTCCTCATCACTGTCAGACTCACTGGCAAAGCGCTTTACTCCCCTGTAATCTAATTCCTCTAAGTCTTCGGGTCCAAATCCTGCAAAGTCCTCAGAGTCACTAGGTGCCAAAATAATCTCCCGAATGCGTTTCAGCTGGCGCTGATCCTCCTCTAACTCAGCATCACTCTTTCTCCTCCTACAACTGGTAGTAGTTTCACTGCCAGGACGCTGAGCCTCAATAATAAAGGCCCATGGAATAGTCCCATATTGGGTTGAGACTATGGCTCCTGGTGGGGGAGCATGGAGAAGTTGCTGCTCCATGCCCTGCATTGCCCGCCTTACCTTCCTCCTCTCATCACATGGTGGGAAAGTTTCTGCCCAGCTTCCCCCCACTGAAGTGAAGACAACACAGGACAGCTCCCATGTTGTGACAACAGGTGTTGCTTCACCTCCCTTTTTGGCACAGAGACCAGCTGGCACAGAGACCATATTGTGTGAAGGGCTCCGTGCCGTAAAGGGAGGTGAAGCAGCATATGATGGGCAAATTGGCCCCTCTGATGAGGTCATAAGTAAAGCAAGGTCTTTCTGAGGCCTCATAATACAAAAACAAGGGACTTCCATAGAGACTGAATGATAGAAGATTAAAGACAGAGGAAATTAAGTCTTTTTTATACAGTTAATACAAGTTTTAGGATGTGCAAGGATCTGAACCTGTTTGCTGGCTTGTGAGAGTACCTTTTCCTATATTCAACATCTCAAAGATTGAGGTCTGCTGAGGGAAGCCCCCATCTGTGTCCCACCAGTGAGGGCAATACAGTGCCATAAGACCACGGCCTTCAGTTATAGAACACAAATCTCCAGGACACTCAGCTGGTGGCAAGTCTGGTTTCATTTCTGCCAAATAAAATATAGCCTTTTGAAAATGTCTTTGGGGCCTAATTAATTTCTTCTCCACTGGATATAGTTTTTAAATGATTTATTTTAATACTTCAAATTGTTGAATGTGCGTTTAATCTATTGTAAATTATTTATATTTAAATTTTTAATGGTTTCAAACCGTTTGCTTGGTTTTATCAGTATGCTACTCTGATTTCCTAGGATGGACACAGTTCCCCTATATATAGAATCACAGAATCATAGAATCATAGAATCAAAGAGTTGGAAGAGACCTCATGGGCCATCCAGTCCAACCCCCTGCCAAGAAGCAGGAATGTTGCATTCAAATCACCCCTGACAGATGGCCATCCAGCTTCTGTTTAAAAGCTTCCAAAGAAGGAGCCTCCACCACACTCCGAGGCAGAGAGTTCCACTGCTGAACGGCTCTCACACTCAGGAAGTTCTTCCTCATGTTCAGATGGAATCTCCTTTCTTGTAGTTTGAAGCCATTGCTCCTTGGCCATGGAAGCAGTAAACAAGCTTGCTCCCTCCTCCCTGTGGCTTCCTCTCACATATTTATACATGGCTATCATATCTCCTCTCATCCTTCTCTTCTTCAGGCTAAACATGCCCATCTCCTTAAGCCGCTCCTCATAGGGCTTGTTCTCCAGACCCTTGATCATTTTAGTCACCCTCCTCTGGACACATTCCAGCTTGTCAATATCTCTCTTGAATTGTGGTGCCCAGGAGTAAATGGAAATCAATTATCCCTCATGTCAATAATTTGCCTCTCTTTTGTTGTAAGGATAAGGGACCATATTCTATATTGCCTACTTGCAATTAAGGATGCATTTGCACTGCAGAAGTAATGGAATTTGACACCACTTTAGCTGCCATGGCTGAATGCTATGGAATCTCTGGATTTTTTGTTTGGCAAGGCACCAGAGCTCTTTGGCAGACAAGGCTAAAGACCTTATAAAACTACAGGCTCCCATGATTCCATGGTATGTTGAAAAAAGCGAGGTTTGCAGAATGTATAAACAGGAGACCATCAATTTATGGCCAACTGCCATGGGGAAAATGATTCTAGTTTACACTTTGGTCTGATGTGATGAAGCCATGAGACTCCTATCATGAAACAGTTCTTCCACTAGAAGCAATAAAGGGGCTTCATAGGCATGTGAATGATACATCATCTTTCCTGGATTTGTTTTGTTTTTAAAGATTACACGACCATAATAACAAGGAGGAAAACGGATGATCAGGTAGAACAATGTCAGAAGCGGATCTGCATAAACAGGTAATATAGCCCCAAGGAACAAACTGTACAAATGCAAGATGTGCCTCATGATGTTTTTTTAAAATCCAGTATTGATCTTCTGCTTACAGTTCAGTGTGCAATTTTGGAAGCAAACAAAAATCCATAAAGAAAACCACTTACTTAGATATACACTCCATTGTTGAAATTGTACTTCATTCAATGCATAGCTTGGAAAGGTTTTGTTTAAAAACTCACAATTTACAATCATTCCGGCTACAGATTTATGGGGGTCTGAGAAAGTAACCTTTCCAAGCCTCATCTGGGTTATTAAACATTCTCGAATTAGTGTTGCATTGGGTTAAACCACTGAGCTACTGAACTTGCTGACTGAAAAATCACTGGTTCAAATCCAGGGAGCGAGGGTGGGCTCCCACTGTTAGCCCCAGCTTCTATTTATTTATTTATTTATTTATTTATTTCAATTACTTCTACCCCGCCCTTCTCACCCCCAAGGGGGGACTCAGGGCGGCTTACAAAGGAAGGCACAATTCGATGCCTATGTCAAAAATACATACATACATACATAAAAGCAATTAAACAATTAACAGGTTAAAAACATCAGTACATAACACAATAGTAAACAATCTCATGGTCAGTGTTCAGAGTTCCATAAATCCATTCCGTTCCGTCAATTCCTGCCCATCATCAAGGTCTTTCCTTTAGCTGCCAGAATGTCCAAAAGCCTGGTCCCACATCCAGGTCTTCAATTTTTTTCTGAATGAAAAAAGGGAAGTCGCTGATCTAATCTCCCCGGGGAGTGAGTTCCACAGGTGAGGGGCCACTACCGAGAAGGCCCTGCTCCTCGTCCCCGCCAGCCTCACTTGTGATAGAGGCGGGGTCGAGAGCAGGGCCTCCCCAGAAGATCTTAGACTCCGAGGTGGGACGTAGAGGGAGATCCGTTCGGACAGATACACTGGGCCGGAACCGTATAGGGTTTTGTAGGTCAAAACCAGCACTTTGAATTGTGCTCGGAATTGGATCGGCAGCCAGTGGAGCTGACAACAGGGGGGTGGTATGCTCCCTGTATGCCGCTCCGGTGAGCAATCTGGCTGCCTCCCGCTGGATTAGTTGGAGTTTCCGAGCAGTCTTCAAAGGCAACCCCACGTAGAGTGTGTTGCAGTAATCCAAACGGGATGTGACAAGAGCGTGGACCACTGTGGCCAGATCTGACTTCCCAAGGTATGGGTTCTATGAACCTAGCAGTTTGAAAAAAAAAAGCAAATGTGAATAGATCAATAGGTATTGCTCCAGCGGGAAGGTAACAGCACTCCATGCAGTCATGCCAGTCCCATGATCTAAGAGGTGTCTACGGACAATGCCAGCTCTTTGATATAGAAATGGAGATGACAACAACCCCCAGAGTCAGACCCAACTGGACTTGATGTCAGGGAAAAACCTTTACCTTTACCTATGTCTGTAAATGGTGGGTATATACTAATTGGCTTGAATGTTCCATGTGTAACATAAAATTTTAGCTGGCATCCTGTTGATGTTTTTTTCTTGTTATTAATCAGCATTTTCTAGAAAAACCCTCTAGGCTTTTTCTGGAACCTCCTGGGACTACTATGGTATTCTTGGGTTCTCCATTATCTGTGCTTTCACATAGCCATGCAAATTCCAGAAACATATTCCCCACAGATATGCAAGTCGTACTGTATTTCAAAATGAATAATTCACATCAGTGTTTTCCAGTCTTTGGTCCTCCAGGTGTTTTGGACTTCAACTCTCACAATTTCTAACAGGTGGTTAAATAGCTGGGATTTCTGCAGTTGAAGCCCAAAAGACCTGAAGGACCAAAGCTTGGAAACTACTTGTTTACATGCTATGTTATATTAAAGACTCTTATGATCTACATCTAATATATATAAACACAATGGGTGGCAATTGGTTACAAAAATGTGAATATTACCTTATATTCCAGCTAAGCTATAATGGCATGTTCCAGGGTTTAGGAAAGTTACTTTTAGGGGTACAACTCCCAAATTCTTCCAGTGACCAGGAAATTCTGGCAATTTTAGCCCAAAAGTTCACTTTCCAACTCTGCAAGACTAGCATCTCAGATTCAATTGCATCTCCTCTTTGACATTTTCTGATAAAAATATGTCATTCATTTACCTAACACCAGAAGCGATTTGCAGTATTTCTCAAGTTGCTCCTGACATGAAAAATAAATTACCTGTTGTTGTTGTTCATTCGTTCAGTCGTCTCCGACTCTTCGTGACCTCATGGACCAGCCCACGCCAGAGCTCCCTGTCGGCCATCACCACCCCCAGCTCTTTCAAGATCAGTCCAGTCACTTCAAGGATGCCATCCATCCATCTTGCCCTTGGTCGGCCCCTCTTCCTTTTGCCTTCCACTTTCCCCAGCATAATTGTCTTCTCTAGGCTTTGCTGTCTCCTCATGATGTGGCCAAAGTACTTCAATTACCTAATAAATTACCTAATACCTTGTATAATCTAATAACACTGATGTTTGGGTGTGTGTGTCTTACTTAAGTGGACACACATTAGTAGGAATTAAATTTTTACAGTGCTATAATGTCTATATCCAGCAAGGGGCTGTTGCTATATTAGTACGTAAGAAGCCAACAAGATGACCAATGCACATTGGAACCGTAGTATTTGCTAGGCCTGTTTGATCAAGAAAAAATTTGTTTCTAAACTCGTTTTGTAATTGGGGTGTTTTTTTGTTTCGATATTTAAAATAATTACAAAACTTTCCCAAAAAAAGTTTTGGTATTTACGAAATTTTGTAAATATTAACGAATTTTTAGAATATTTTTTTTGTATTTTTAATATTAAAATAATATTAAAAAATAATATTAAAAAATAATATTAAAAATAATATTAAAAAATAATATTAAAAATATTTTAAAATGGAAAATGAAACCGCACAGGCCTACTATACAGACATAGCGGGTTTGAGTCAGACCCAGCTAACACCTCCCAACAAAGGATTCCCCTGAGCAGGAAGGAGCCAGACTTTGAAGCTACAAGGCCATTTAATCCCAATCAAGCTGTCCAAACTCCATTTGCCTAGTTTCCAACAGACCTCTGAGGATGCCTGCCATAGATGTGGGCAAAATGTCAGGAGAGAATGCTTCTGGAACATGGTCATACAGCCCAGAAAACTCACAGCAAGCCTGGATGCAGCCTTCAATTCTCAGGCGGGCCACGGAGGCAGAGCCGGCGCTGCAGGAATCCCCTCCCCGGCTCCTGCGCCCTCCGGGAGAGAAAGAGAAGGAAGGAAGGAAGGAAGGAAGGAAGAGAGAAGAAAGGTGGGAGTGAGGCTAGGCAGAGACGAGAGAAAGAGAGAAGGAGGGAAGGAGACAGAGAGAGAGGGAGAGGGAGGAGAGAAAGGGGGAACGCGAGAAAGAGAGATAGAAAGAGGGGAAAGGGGGAGTGTGTGAGAGAGAGAGAAAGAGGGAGGGAGTGAGAGAGAGAAGGGGGAGGAAGGAGGGACGCGAAAGAGAGAGAGAAAGAGGGGAAACGAGGGAGTGTGTGAGAGAGAAAGGGGGAAAGAGAGAGAAGGAAGGAAAGAAGGAAGGAAGGAAGGAAGGAAGGAAGGAAGGAAAGAAAGAAGAGAGAAGAAAGGAGGGAGTGAGGCCAGGCAGGGACGGAGAGAAAGAGGGAACTCGAAAAAGAGAGGGGGGAGGAGGGTGTGTGAGAGAGAAGGAGGGAGGGAGAGAAAGAGAAGGATGGAGTGAAAGAGAGAAGCGGGAGGAAGGAGGGAACGCGAGAGAGAGAGGGGGGAAAGGAGGGAGTGTGTGTGAGAGAGAAAGAGGGAGGGAGTGAGAGAGAAGGATGGAGTGAAAGAGAGAAGCGGGAGGAAGGAGGGAACGCGAGAGAGAGAGGGGGGAAAGGAGGGAGTGTGTGAGAGAGAAAGAGGGAGGGAGTGAGAGAGAAGGATGGAGTGAAAGAGAGAAGGGGGAGGAAGGAGGGACGCGAAAGAGAGAGAGAAAGAGGGGAAACGAGGGAGTGGGTGAGAGAGAAAGGGGGAAAGAGAGAGAGAGAGAAAGGAAAGAAGGAAGGAAGGAAGGAAGGAAAGAAAGAAGAGAGAAGAAAGGAGGGAGTGAGGCCAGGCAGGGACGGAGAGAAAGAGGGAACTCGAAAAAGAGAGGGGGGAGGAGGGTGTGTGAGAGAGAAGGAGGGAGGGAGAGAAAGAGAAGGATGGAGTGAAAGAGAGAAGCGGGAGGAAGGAGGGAACGCGAGAGAGAGAGGGGGGGAAAGGAGGGAGTGTGTGTGAGAGAGAAAGAGGGAGGGAGTGAGAGAGAAGGATGGAGTGAAAGAGAGAAGCGGGAGGAAGGAGGGAACGCGAGAGAGAGAGGGGGGGAAAGGAGGGAGTGTGTGTGAGAGAGAAAGAGGGAGGGAGTGAGAGAGAAGGATGGAGTGAAAGAGAGAAGCGGGAGGAAGGAGGGAACGCGAGAGAGAGAGGGGGGGAAAGGAGGGAGGGTGTGTGAGAGAGAAAGAGGGAGGGAGTGAGAGAGAAGGATGGAGTGAAAGAGAGAAGCGGGAGGAAGGAGGGAACGCGAGAGAGAGAGGCAGGGGCGGGGCTTGGCTCACTGGGTGCGCGCTCGCGGCGCCCCTTCGCCCCGCCCGTCCGCCCCATTTACGAAACGAGCGAAAGCTCGTAAATACTCATGGAGTTGACGTTTCAATATTTTAAAACCCTTCCGGGTTTGAAATATTGTTTTGTTATCGTACCGTAAATGCAAAAATTAACGAATTAATAACGGATTAACGGATTAACGAACGAAACCGCACAGGCCTAGTGTCCACCCCATTATGCATCAGTGCCTTTGTGCACTGGGAGTCCAGTCAGGGCTACTCTTGTGAGTGTCCTTAACTAACAGGGTTTCTTATGTTCCTAAGTGTGTGTGAATGTAATGTATTCTGTAATAGAGAATTCCAGACAGCCTATTCTGTGCAGAAAATGCTTTTTTCTGTGCAAAACAGCTACATGCAATTTTGGGGCAGAACAAATTCCTAATGTGAAGAGGTTTGTTGGTCTAAGGTTCTTCTCTCCAGCAGTTTTCAATACAGAAAAACTGACATTTTTGAAAGAAAGGGCAGCACAGCAACAGTCAGTAGTTATCTATGTTGGAAACCACCTTGAGTCGTCAATTGGCTGAGAAAGGTGGTATACAAATACAGCAAATAAATAAATAAATAAATAACCTGTTAGCAGATCATTCCAAAAATATAACATTAAAGCTTTCCACATTTGCAGTCACAGCCCAAAAAATCTGAGCTAAATTAGTCTACAGAGGAGGCTAGAAATGGAAATGGAGATAGTTTGGGATGATACAAATCAGACATTTGTTATTGTTATCATGTCACTGCTACTATAATTTTAAAGAGCCAGTATATGGAATAAGTTTGAATATTTATATTGGAAAGTGCTTATTGTACTTACTATATTGTGCTTTTAAAGGTTGTATATTTTGTGATGTCATGGCCTATGGCTGGTACAATAAACCATTATTCATTCATCATTGAATACTCTTTCCATTCCTACTTTCACATGAATGGGACACAAAATTTAATCTTTGTTGTCCACGCACTGCCCTCAGTAGACTTTGAAAGAACTACCCAAGGTGTCAAACCTGTTTCAAGGATAGCATCTTGGCTCCTTTAAAATTTAGACTAGAATCCAGAGCAGACTCCCATATAGGCTATAGGCTCCTACTAAAGGCAAAGGGTAACACAGATAAATAAGGAGAATGTTCTTAGTAGCTCTTTGCAGAGAGGGAAGGTGGACAAAAGCATTATCCAACCTTTTGTGGTAGCTGAGATGCCTGAAAATGTGTTTGCAGTGGAGGATACACTGCAAACACTTCAAGGGTATCTTATACATGAAACTGTGGAGGATGAAACAGTAGACAGTCCCTATCCTGAAGGGCATTTTCAGTGATGGCTGGTGATTTCTTTATCAGCGGAACAGTATAATTCGTTTTGGATTTTAGTCTGGATATATTCAAGAACTTGTCCAACGCGGTGAAGGAAATTTGGTGATAGGATTCAGTACTTTAGATTGATCCTTTAATGTTATTATTAAAACATTTTTAATACACAGTGCAACAAAGCAAACTCTTATATCTAACCCTGTCCCACATGACCAGCCATCCCCTGCAGAGGATTTTTAGATATCTTTTAGAGGACAAGTGCCACAGGGTGACTCTCACAGTGGCAAAATTCCTCACAGTGGCAACAAGGCCCAGAAAGGAACTAATCTCCGATTGGGGTATTACTTGAAACTATGTAGATGTATCTTTTACAATGGACTTTTCCTGAGATGGGAGAATTTGTAATGACTGTTGGTTTTACTAATGGTTCTATGGACCATAATAAATGTTATTGTTGTTGTTATCTTAAAACACAGAATAAACTGACATGAAAACCGCCATGTACCGTGGAGTATCTTCCATTTTACTTGGCAAGAAAGTGAGAGCTTTAGAAATATGTAAATCCCAATCTGTATGTTTTTAACCAAAGAAGATTATCTCTGGCTTTTCTTATAGTTTGGACTTTATTGATACAATATCTCTGTAAATACTCCACTTCAGGTTATTTTGGAGAGATCTCTGTGCCAAAGAAAATGGAACATGTTGTTGCACAGGATAAAATTGCATAATCCTTTGTGGATGATAAATTAAAAGATAAATTAAAATAGAGAATGTCTTCCTTCATCGCTGGTTTGTTTGTTTCTCTAGCTTTGATGAGTCAAAGGGCACCAATTCCCTGGAAATTGATGGTTTGGAGCTTGTTCGGAAAGCCATTGAAAAGGAAAGGTAATTTGACCATGAAGAGGCCATCTGGCTTTAATTGCATTTCCAGCATCTTGCAAGACGATAATGGGATTTTGATTAGACATGCCTGAAAACCTAATCGCAGTTTTCATGCCCATAATATAAGCAGCTTTACCACTAAATACATTTCTAGTTGGAACCTGTTTCAGTTCCGAATGGTCGTACATTGGTCCTGGCATCTAAATATAGAAATATTTTGGGGCCATGAGTACCTTGGATACTCTCAAGATTGTACTTCCCCCACCATAGCATTTCTGTGTTGATTTTTCCATATTTAGACATAAATGCCTATGTTATGGCTTAAAATCTGCCATACATTCCTGTTCACAAAATACATCATTGCAATTTACACAAAGACACAGAACAAAGAAGTAGTGGCAGTTGATGGCTTGCAGTAGCAAGCCTACTTATAGCTTTGAAGGATCTCTCCAAGTTGCTGAAAGCAATCCCACAAATAGGCTCAGCACTTTGAATAACTTCTTCAAAATATGAACTGAAATCCAAGTGTGGCTTTTAGTATTCTGGAAACACAGGAGATGCTAGATGCCATGGGTAAAAATATAAATCCACACACAAGGGGCCTTTTCATGCAACATTGATATAGCACTGTGATAGCACTTTAACAGTGATGGTGGCATCCTAGGGAATCTAGACATTTGCAGTTTAGATTGCTGAGACAAAGAGCTTTAGTGCCTCACCATACAACAAACACCAGGATCCCACAGAATGCAATTAAGACAATTAAAGTGAAATCATAATTCTAAAATTTTGTAGTGTGAAAGAGGTGGGGAGAAAGCACAGAAGAGCTCCCAACAAATTATGAAATGCAGCAAGCAAGTTCTTTTTTCTTTTGGTAAAATCATAGAATTGGAAGGGACTGCAAAGACCATATAACCCAGTGTTTCTCAACCTGGGGGTCACGAGGGGGTGTCAGAGGGTTTGACAAACCATAAAAAAACACAGTATTTTCTGTTGGTCATGCAGGTTCTGTGTGGGAAGTTTGGCTCAACTCTTGTTGGTGGGGTTCAGAATGTTCTTTGATTGTAGGTGAACTATAAATCCCAGCAACTACAATTCCCAAATGTCAAGGCCTATTTCCCCCCAAACTTCACCAGTGTTCACATTTGGGGATATTAAGTATTCGTGCCAAGATTGGTCCAGATCCATCATTGTTTGAGTCTACTGTGCTCCTTGGATGTAGGTGAACTACAACTCCAAAACTCAAGGCCAATGCCCATCAAATCCTACCAGTATTTTCTGTTAGTCATGGGAGTTCTGAGTGCCAAATTTGATTCAATTCCATCATTGGTGGAGTTCAGAATGCTCTTTGATTGTAGGTGAACTATAAATCCCAGCAACTACAACTCCCAAATGATAAAATCACACTCCCAATCCCACCAGTATTGAAATTTGGGCGTATTGGCTATTTGTGCCAAATATGGTCCAGTGAATGAAAATATATTCTGCATATCATATATTTACATTATGATTCAGAACACTAGCAAAATTACAGTTATGAAATAGCAACGAAAATAATGTTATGGTTGGGGGTCACCACAACATGAGGAACTGTTGAGAAACACTGATCTGACCCAATTCTCTGCGACTTCCAGAGGCAAACCTGCTCTGAACAACTCTTATTTAAAAAAACCCAGGGCATTCTTTCACGCACAAAGACACATGTAAAGTATTCCTGAAAGATGTTGGAATCCACAAGAGGTAAAGAGGTTCTGCCATAACTCAGCATGGAAATATTGTCCACCTACTTTGCAAGGGAATTATATCAAACAAGGGCTACAAAACTTATTCTTCTGGAAAAAGTCAACTTTTCCTCCCAATAAGATGGAACTAAGAGTAGGACCATGTCTTCCCTCTTGGGCCCCTTCCACAATATCTGCTCTGAACTGGGACTCTGATAACCCAGTTCAAAGCAGATATTGTGGGTTATTCTGGCTTGATATTCTGGGTTATATGGCTGTGTGGAAGGACCCATGATTTACATACTTGGTGACAACCAAGAGTTGTGAAAGCAAAACTAACCATGATGACATTGATAAATGGAACTAAATATTACAGAGAGAGAGAGAGAGAGAATTAATACGCAGTTGAAGGCTTTCATGGCTGGAATCACTTGGTTGCTGTGAGTTTTTCGGGCTGTATGACCATGTTCCAGCAGCATTCTCACCTGATGTTTCACCAGCATCTGTGGCTAGCAAGTTCTGAGGTTCTTTATGCCACTGTGTAGCCATAAAGCTGCAAAGTCAATGAGCAAACAATCAAGTGCCAGTTAACACCTCCCAAACAGAGGATGTCTCCAGAAAACAGAGGCCAGGCTACCACTATCCATATACCCTCATTGATTGGCTTTGCAGCTTCATGGCTACTCAATGCTATTCAAGCTTGGTAACTGCAACATTCACACTAGCTTTAAGCAGAAAAGAATTCTTTCTCCCACCCTGGACATTCCCTGTATATATGTATATGTATATGTATATATGTATATGTATACACACACACACACATATACATAAACTCCACTTGCTTCACTCCAACAGAACCTCTGAAGATGCCAGCAACAGATGCAGGTGAAATGTCAGGAAAGAATGCTGCTGGAACATGGCCATACAGTGGGTTATTCTGGCTTGATATTCTGGATTACCTGTGTGGAAGGACCCATGATCTACATACTTGGTGACAACCAAGGGTTGTGAAACGAATAGTAACTAAGTTCTGTCAACTCTGATAGGTTATCCATTAAACTTTCATGCCGAATTCTTTCTTAGACCTACCTGGATTTAGATTTGATTTAGGGCTGCAACTCGTAGAAACAGATGGAAGGCAACACAATGCACACACCACTCTGACATTAGGGATAACAATTAGGGCTGGGCGGTTTCGTTTCGTTAATTCGTAACTCGTTAAAAATTCGTTATTTTTTTTATAACGAAGCGATAACGAACCATTCTGGAGCAACTTAAAAACGAAACGAATTTTTAAATTCGTTTCGTAAATGCTTCGGTTTCGTTATGTATTCGTTTCGTTATCGGTTTGAGGTCGTTTCATTATTATTTCCGCATGTCTGGGGCAAGTTTTATAGTTGTTTTTTGTTTAATTAGTGAAAAAAATATAATATCACACCAACAGTCAACAACAGAGGGAGAGGGAAGCTTCAGAAGTTCCCCCTGTCCCATTTGGAGGTTTTTTAGCGTATTGCGCGGTCGCGTCCGCCATTAACGAATCGATTCGTTATTGTTTCGTATTTGTTTCATTAATGTTTCGTAATTTTTTTTACATTTACGAAATTTCGTAAATATCGAACTTTTTAAAAGAAAAATTTCGGAATTCTTTTAAATATCGAAACGCAAAACCCCCCAAAAAACGAATCGATTTTAGAAACAAATTTTTCCGTTGTTACCCAGGCCTAATAACAATCTTTGCAGGCCTTTACTCCATCATGAAAGAATAAAAAACTCATATCCTTGTTTACTTGTTTTAGCATTGTCCAAGGATAAAATATAATAGACATTGTAATATAATATATTACTTCAAAGTCTTAGCAACAGATTATATGTATATATTAAGCACAGGAATCTGAAACGTCTAGAAGTTAACAAATATTCTGATGTTGATTCTACACAAGGTGAAAGCCAGTGTGCTGTAGTGGTCTGAGCATAGAATCATAGAATCAAAGAGTTGGAAGAGACCTCATGGGCCAGCCAGTCCAACCCCCTGCCAAGAAGCAGGAATATTGCATTCAAATCACCCCTGACAGATGGCCATCCAGCCTCTGTTTAAAAGCTTCCAAAGAAGGAGCCTCCACCACACTCTGGGACAGAGAGTTCCACTGCTGAATGGCTCTCACAGTCAGGAAGTTCTTCCTCATGTTCAGATGGAATCTCCTTCTCTTGTAGTTTGAAGCCATTGTTCCTTGTCCTAATCTCCATGGAAGCAGTAAACAAGCTTGCTCCCTCCTCCCTGTGACTCCATCTCACATATTTATACATGGCTATCATATCTCCTCTCATCCTTCTCTTCTTCAGGCTAAACATGCCCAGCTCCTTAAGCTGCTCCTCATAGGGCTTGTCCTCCAGCATAGGGCCAGGAAACCAGGATTTAAATCTCTATTCAGTTACAGAAATCCACTGGGTGACTTTGGCCTCCGGGGAAGGCAATGGCAAACTTCATCTAACAATTCCTTATCACAGAGATGAGTTAATTTTATGATCCTTGGTCAAAAATTACTTGACATGATAACAAGTTATAAAGGATCAACCCTCCATGGAATTAGTGGTCCCATTTGGATTACCACCTGTGCAGATTCTATTTTGGGGCTGCAATTCTCAGAAATCTTAAAAGTGGCTGGGAGGTTCTGAGAATTGTAGTTTGAAATTAATATTTCCCAGCTCAAGGTCAATATCAGTGGGGCATTGAACCCACTCTTGATATCAGTCTATAAGGTAAGGGTAAATGTTTCCTCTTGACATTAAGTCTAGTCATGTCTGACTCTGAGGGGTGATGCTCCTCTCCATTTTCAAGCTAAAGAGCCAGCATTGTCTGTAGACACCTCCTCGGTCATGTGGCCAGCATGACTGCATGAAGTGATGTTACCTTCCTGTCAAATCAGTACTTATTTATCTACTCACATTTACATGTTTTTGAACTGGAATGTAGGCAGAAGCTGGGGATAACAGTGGAAGCTCACCCCACTCCCTGGATTCAAACCACCAACCTTTTGGTCAGCAAGTTCAGCAGCTCAGCAGTTTGACCTGCTGCACCACCAGGGGCTATTAGTCTATACATTTAACAAATAACATTGCTTCCCAAATAAGTTCACCACCTTGGATAGCTCATTGGAAGCAAACCAAAATGGGAACTGGATTAACTGACATTGAAGTCTTCAGATACCTCTGTTCAGGTATGAGCAGAGATACAGCGATAGTCTATTTGGGTGTAGTAATGTCAATAGTGACAGAAACAGGTAACTTTATCTGCTACATGGTATTATCCCACACATATGCATTGATTTCCAGCACCTCTTTATTGCAGTCAGAAACTCAACACAATATTTCACCAACCAGATGGCAACTGTCAGTGCCTACCTAAAACAACCAGATCCATATTCTGAGAGTCATAATTTTATAGAAATAACGTTTTCATCTAAGTCTTAGTTACTCCCTTGAGACAAAGTTCTGAAGTTTTCACCATCTGTAAGCGTTCTGCACCACTACAAGTGGAAATGGAAAGTCCAAGACAATAATTGACAGCAACTTCTGTTGAAAGCTTTAAAGTAGTGGTGACACTCAGGTGACTCTCCAGGTTTTGGTGGATTGTTAATTCCCAGCAGCTGTAAACAGCAAAATGGATGTTAAAAAATGCTGAAAAATGCAGTTGAACATCTGGAGGACTGCAGAGCTCCCACCACAGCTTTAAAGCACAGAAAAAAAACAACAATTTCAACCCAAAGCTCTTTAGGATCCATTGGTGGTGGAGCTTGAAGGATATCACACATTTTCTGGTTTCCATGATAGTAGTATTTGCGACGTTGCTAACAAAACCAGATAGAGAATCAGGATGTGAAAGAGAGAGTCCTGTAACAGTCATTAAGGGCAGAACTCCACATGATACTGATGATGTTATATCCCGTATCCAGAATTCTGAAATCTGAAATACTCCTCAGTCTGAAATTGTTTTCATGGGCAACTGAGTTAGTGCTTTCTGATGGTACACAAATGAGGCTTCATGCATACAGTTATTAAAAATATTGGCCTATCAAATGACCTTCAGGTGTGTATGAAACATCAATTAATTTCACATTAGACCTGGCTCCCATCTACAAGATATCTCAGTATGTTCATATATGCAAATAGAAGTATTCTAAAATCAGAGGGTGTTCTGGTACGCCTGTACCAGGAGCTCCAGCTTCTTTTTCTTTCTTTGAGTGTTTGCATGTATTTCAAAGTTCCATGCATTTTGCAATAAGGTGGCTTCCCTTGGTTTGCAATTATAGGYCCAATGACCCATRAATRATCATTAGGTTCTWTAGTTCCGCCCCTTTTTCTGGYTTTAGGAGGGAAAAAYGGGGACCTCTASTTRAGTTCWKACAGAGAAGRCTTTCYTACAGGYCYTGAYTCAGTTCCACRTGMAGAAAGKTTCGTCTTRTACAGCTTTTGCTGMGGGGAATTCAGTCCCACAGCTCTACAGAGAAGCATAGCCTTTGCTGGGGGGATCCAGTCCCACAGCTTTACAGCCAGCCTTRGCTGGGAATTGAAGACCTTCTTTCCTCTTGGAAATCTACAAAAGGACTCTGTTTGGTAAGGACCARMCYRGGCAGCCATAACGCAATTTGGACRGGGTGTAGGGGCCCACGCCAGCAYAGCCTAAYACAGATTYCCCAGGTAGAGGTCAAGGATTTCCCTGKTAGWGAAGAAACAGTTCTTGAAGATAGTTGCCTGTCCCTTGTGGWCAAGATTAAGAAAGCCACCAGTTGATTCAAAGCCTTGAAGTATTTGTTTGATTTATTGAAGACCCAAGCACTAATAAAGAACTTTGTTAAATTTTCCAAGTTTCTAAAGACTTTGCTTAGGGAAATCTATAGGGCTTCTAATCCGAAGCACCCCGGGCGTCCCGTTGGGCATACAGAGCACGTCCTGTCTACAGACCTCTTCACAGGCCCAGCACGTGACAGCACAGAGGAAGAAACCCTGAAAACCATAATCCTTTTTAGTCTAAGCATTTTGAATGAGAGACACTCAACCTGCACTAGTATAAGAGTGCGGCTTAGGGAAAGTGTAGCTAGAAGCTGGCTGTTTACAATTCTACATGTTTGCATGAAAGAATGAAATAAGCAAGGGGTAGATCACTAAACTCCTCTTCACTACATACAGAGCATCCTATTTTTTCTACATATTGTAGATCACTAAACATACATATTGTAGATCACTAAACTCCTCTTCACTACATACAGAGCATCCTATTTTTTCTACATATTGTAGAAGCATTCATCGGCATCTTCATAGCATCGTAGCTGTGATGGGACCACTTAAATCAGGGGTCCCTAAACTAAGGTCTGTGGGCCAGATGCGGACCTCCAAGTTCATTTACCCTGACCCTGCCCTAATCTTTAGCATAGGGTTGCCTTAAGTCTGAAATGACTTGAAGGCACACAACAGCAACAATCAGAATTAATGTGACTGTTTCATAAGCCTAAATGTATAAAAGCAATGCTTTTGGGTTTGGAAAGATTAGCCGTTTACAAGCCGGGAGATGCCCGACTGTATTTACTCTTCGAGGAGGCTCTGCATCTGTATGCTTGTCCACTATGCCCTGCCTCATGTACAGAGGAAGAATTGTTGGAGGCTACAGACAATGCCATTGCTGTTGCCCATTTTTGATCAAAAGATATTTAGCTGCTTGCATTCCTTCTATTTTTATGAGTTTTATACTAATTTATACAATGCTTTTGATATGAAATTAAAAAAATAAAATCAGCCTAAAGCAGGTCCACTCTTCCCATTAAACTATTAGTAAGCCTATTTTGGTTAAAAGTGTTCTTCATTTTAAATATTGTATTGTTTGATCATTGTTTTTTTTGCAGTACAGATAAGATAAGTGCAGTGTGTGTAGGAATTCATTCATGTTTTTTTTTTCAAGTTATAGTTAGGACCCCCAATATTTAGGGGTTTTTTTTAACAGGCTCTCTGCTTCAAAAGTCTTCAAAGGCAACCCCACGTCATTAAGGTGGACCCAATTTAGGTCCACATTAATGAGCTGCTGAATTTGCATATATTCATGGTTCCAATTCTGACTCGGTGGGCTATGACCTTTAAAGACCTATACTATTAAGATTCAAGCTATCTCAAAGTATGCCTCTCTTTATATGAGCCTACCTGAGTTTTACCGTCTTTGGGGAAGGCTTCCTCTTGGTTCTACCAGCATCACAAGTACATGTGAAGAAAACCTGGGATTAATTAAGGCAAAATATTTAACAAATCAGTTATTACAAGCTGCACAAGCAGTAAAGCATATGGTTGAAAAGAGGCACAAAAATGAGATTTATATAAATGGAAACAATATAATAATACATAATAATACACTTTATTTATATTCCGCTTTATCTCTCCCGAGAGACTCAAAGTGGATTACAGTACATATATAAGGCAAACATTCAATGCCTTTTACATGAACAATGACATACATTACACAGATAAGGTAAAGGCCTTCCCATTTTCCATTTCTGGCATCTGGAGGCGATGCTCAACTTCTAGTCATGGGGAGATGCTCTCGTTCCATTTTCCATGCCAAAGGAGCCTGCTGTTCTCTGATATTTTTGCTGGAATGTCTACATGGGGCACCTTTTCACCTTCCTCCTGAGGCAGTACCTATTGATCTACTCGCATTGAATGCTTTCTAACTGCTGGGTTGGCAGAAGCTAGGACTGAACAGTCAGGAGCTCACCTTGACTCACAGCTTCAAACTGCTGACCCTCCAGTCAGCAGCTTTTTCTGCAGCTGGCAGCTTTAACCACTGTGCTACTGCGGCCCATTGTAGCAGATATATATATGTTTGATTTTATATGGAAATTTGAGATTACATATAATGGCCGGATAAATGATGATGTATGGATTAGAATCTGGGAAAACAGGTTGATTATGTAAATGGAATAGATGGGAGCAAGAAACTGAAAGATATAATGAAAACAATCTTCCTCAAGAAAGGTAATGGATATTAACATAAATAGCTAGGCTGCTGCCAAACATGGGGAGGGATTACGAATGAAAGAAACAAAGATAGTTATGGAAGATTTTGATTGATGAAATATCATGTGAGTTGATGATGAGTTACTGAAGTTTATAATAATTATTATTATTAACTTTATTTATACCCCGCAAAATCTCCCGAAGGACTCAATGTGGCTTACAAAGGACAAGGCCACCGACAACAACAACATACAATACACAATAAACTCATAAGCAAATAATAAAACATCAAGCAAAAGAATAAAACAATGACACCGTGACGCAATTTAAAACCAAGGCTGGGCAAATGTAATGGACAAAGTTTAAAAGTGCTGTTGTGACAGGTAATATGTAGAGGTATTTGGATAGGTACAATGTGCAGATAATCCTAAATCTCTAGCAAAATGCATTTGGGACTTGAAACCAGGAGTTTCCTATTCTGGAAAGGCACACTGGAACAGCCAGGTCTTCAGGTGCTTCCTAAAGACAGCCAATGTTGGGGCTTGTCTAATGTCCTTGGGGAGAGAGTTCCAGAGTCGGGGGGCTACCACAGAGAAGGCCCTATCCCTCATCCCCACCAAACGTGCCTGCGACGCAGGTGGGATTGAGAGCAGACCCTCTCCAGATGATCGGAGGGAGCGTGCGGGTTCGTAAATGGAGATGCGGTCACCTGCACCTTGAATTGGGACCGGAAAATGAACGGCAGCCAAAGGAGCTCCTTGAACAGGAGGGTTGACCTCTCTCTGTAAGGAGCACCAGTTAACATCCTGGTTGCCGCCCGCTGGACTAGCTGAAATTTCCGAGCCATTTTCAAGGGCAGCCCCACGCAGAGCGCATTACAGTAATCCAATCTATAATGATATTGCATTTAGTTTTATTCATTTATTTCTTCTTCTTTGGAAAAGAATACTAATAGAAAGGTTTCTTTCTTCCTCTTAATGGCATGTTCTTGTTTGACCCTTCTAGAGAGGAGAAGATTGAACAATTGGAGCGAATGGTCTTGGGCCTCCAGAGAGAAGTCCTTGCTTTGAAGCAGAAGGTGCAGCACCTTGAAGCTGCCTCCCTTCAGGAGCAGAAACCTCCATGCCAACCTTGTGAGGTCTCTGAACTATTCAATGGATACACAAGGGACCAACTCAAAGAGGCCATCCGGTTTGACCAAAAAATCAGCACTGCTTGTAAAACCCTCCTCTACAAGCTCTTCACATCAGATTATATCCAAAGTCATTCCATCACTGGGAGGCGAGGGAATACATTCCGGGAAGCTAAGCCCATGATGGATGAGAGGTGCATCAAAATAATCAGAGTGTTGCTGAAGCAGAAGTTTGGGGACCATCTGAGTGATACAGTGATCACTGAGAAGATCCAAAATGTGCAGAAAGCCCTAAGGCAGAAATTTAAAACTGAATGTATCTGATTCTCCAGCAAACAGGCATATCCCAACCCGTAGCCAGGTTGTTAACCAGAGCGGCGTACAGGGAGCGTACTATTCCTTTGTTGTGCCAGCTCCACTGGCTGCTGATCAGCTTCTGGGCACAATTCAAAGTGCTGTTTTTAACCTTTAAAGCCTTGAACGGTTCTGGCCCAGATTACCTGTCCAAACATATCTCCTGTTATGAACCATCACAAAGCTTAAGATCATCAGGAGAAGCCCTGCTCTCGATCCCATCACTCTTGCAAACGTGGTTGGTGGGGACGAGAGACAGGGCCTTCTCGGCAGTGGCCCCCCGTCTGTGGAACTCTCTCTCTAAGGACATCAGGTTGGCCACCCCCCTCCTGTCCTTTAGAAGACAACTGAAGACTTGGCTTTGGGACCAGGCATTCAACTAGAGGTTAGCAGCAACTTGGATAGGAAATTTTTGAACATTGCGACATTGGATTTACCTGGCTGGATCTTGGTTTTAGTGGCACATTATTAAATAATAATAAATAAGGCTTTAAAGTATAATTACATTGCTGTCACAAAAACTTTGGAATCTCTATTGAGTTGATATCATCCTAAATATTTCCTATCATCCACTCTTTCACACTGTGGAAGTATAACACTATGATTCCACTTTAAACTCCATGTCAACAACCTATGGATTCATGAGATTTGCATGTAGAAGAGGAATATTGAGAACTCTCTGCCACAGAGTTCTAGTTTCTCTATACTACAAATCCTAGGATTTTATGGGATGTTGCCATGGCAGTTAAAGTGGAATCATAGCGCATAATGCAGTATATAAAAAAATAAAGTTATTCTGCATATGAACCTCCTTTTAAGGTACAGTTTGTAAATAGCTGACGCAAGCTTATTGCTTCCCTATGGAGTTCTAGTCTCTACTTCTTCTGGCAAGGTAGTAAGTGGCAAGTTGAAAACATTAGAAAAACAAACAAACTCATAGTCTCAATGAGTGAAATAAAGCTTTCTACTTTGGCAGCACACTTAAAAACAGCATAGTCCCACAGGACTATGCAGGTTCGCAGCTTGGGTGTGATCCTGGGCTCATTGCTGAGACTGGAATTCCAGGTTTCAGCAGTGACCAGGGGAGCATTTCCATAGTTAAAGCTTGTGCACCAGCTGCACCCGTACCTTGGGAAGTCTGGCTTGGCCACAGTAGTCCACACTCTGGTTACAGCACACATATATTATTGCAACGCGCTCTACGCGGGGTTGCCTTTGAAGACTATTGGGAAGCCTCAAATGGTCCAGCGGGCATCAGCCAGGCTACTTATGGGAGCAGCGCTCAGGGAGCATACAACTCCGCTGTTGTGCCAACTCCACTGGCTGCCAGTCTGCTACCAGGCACAATTCAAAGTGCAGGCTTTAGCCTATAAGGCCCTAAACAGTTCCAGCCCAACTTACATATCTGAACGTGTCTCCCCCTATGAACCTGCCAGGAATTTATGATCTTCTGGGGAGGCCCTGTTCTCAGTCCCGCCTGCCTCACAGGCAGGATTGGGACCTTGAGCTAGAAGACCAGGGGATGAGAGACAGGGCCTTCTCAGTGGTGGCCCCTTGGCTGTGGAACTCCTTTCCTGGGGAGATTAGATCAGCCCCCTCCCTCCTGATCTTTAGGAAAAGAGTGAAAACCTGGCTCTTTAAGCAAGTTTCTGGAACTTCATTGTAACCAGATAACTCAGTATTTTGAAATAATATGGGACGGCTTAATGATGCAAATGGACATGGATTTTAACCTGGAAGTCATTGGTTTTTATAGTTTTAAACTGTTTTATCATGAATTTTATTATGTGATTTAATCTGTTTTAAGTGATATATTTATGTGTGTTCGGCATCTAATGTTGCTAGTCTGTACGCCACCCTGAGTCGCCTTCGGGCTGAAAAGAGCAGGATGAAAGTTTAGTAAATAAATAAAAATAAATACATTTCATTCTAGGGCATGGGAAGTTATATATCACAGATCCAAGAATTTGGGAAGTTGTTTTCCAGATGAATAATGTTTCCAAACTTTGTTTTTTCACTGTGTAGAATCCTGTTGGTGATTTATGTCTTCATAAGTGGACTTGTGACTTCAGAAATTAGAATTGGACAATTCTATAATATCCATTAGGCCTGGGTAACAACGGAAACATTTGTTTCTAAAATCTATTCGTTTTTTGGGGGTTTTTGCGTTTCAATTTTAAAAAGAATTCCGAAATTTTTCTTTTAAAAAGTTCGATATTTACGAAATTTCGTAAATGTTAAAAAAATTATGAAACAATAACGAATCGATTTCGAAACAATAACGAATCGATTCATTGATGGCGGGCGCGACCGCGAAATACGCTAAAAAACCTCCAAATGGGACAGGGGGAACTTCTGAAGCTTCCCTCTCCCTCTGTTGTTGACTGTTGGTGTGATATTATAATTTTTTTTCACTAATTAAACAAAAAACAACTATAAAACTTGCCCCAGACATGCGGAAATAATAACGAAACGACTTTAAAACGATAACGAAACGAATACATAACGAATCCAAAACAATTACGAAATGAATTTAAAAATTCGTTTCGTTTTTAAGTTGCTCCAGAATGGTTCGTTATCGCTTCGTTATTAAAAAAAAATAACGAATTTTTAACGAATTACGAATTAACGAAACGAAACCGCCCAGCCCTAATATCCATATCTAGTAAGAGGGTGCTTCTGTGTTTTCTATATTTTCTATATTTGCTTCTGGCAAATATATCCATTGTACACTGGGAATGATGCTCAATGACATTAATGTGCATTTGTCTATTGCACATCAGGACACAAGCTAGGCAGTACCAATGGACATCAGGAGACACATTTGCTGGGGTTCTGCTTCCACATCTTTGCAGCTCAGTAGCAGGATTTCTTAGCAGTTTGGCCATGTAGCTACAGATGTAGAAAATGATGTGACATAGATTATGATTGTCATGGCTAATGTTGGCATGTGGAGATTTAGGAAGGATTACTTCTCCCAGCCTTTGAGTTGGGCTCAAATACAGAGCAAGAGCACGTGCAGCCAGACACTGAAGGGGCCACCACTTCAGAACAGGAACAATTGCAACACCAAGTGGATAATGAAAGACTTACCACTCCTTTGGGCTCACAGCAAGGGAAGGATTGGGACCTTGAGCTAGAAAACCAGGGGTTAAATATTCCAAACAGGTTACAATTAAGAACATATGAGATTCAAGTGTGGAGATCTAGTCGTTTGGCTAAAAAGAGGTCCAGCAAGTGGGAACTCTTGAGAAAGCTGCATACATAGCTGAAGTTTGGAACAGTTGCTGTTGACAACGTTGGTTTTGGAATGGACTTATGGATTACTCTCTTGTCTCATCCTTATTTTGCCAGTTAATTATGTTGACCTCGGACTTCGCCTGGACTACGTTTAAGTGCTCAGCTGCTTTACAGAGACAGCTGGGCAGGACTCTGACAATGACAGAGGATTCTGCTCTATGTTAATAGCATAACCAGTTGACATTCTGTTCTTCTACTGTGTACATCTTTTTGAGCTATGTCTCTGTCTCTTTTTCTGTTAAAATAATTCATATATTGTTGCTCCTGGTGGCACAGTGGCTTAAACCACTGAGCTGGTGAACTTGCTGACCAAAAGGTTGGCAGTTCAGATCCAAGAAGTGGGGTGAGCTTCCACTGTTAGGCCCAGCTTCTGCTCACCTAGCAGTTTGAAAACATACAAATGTGTGTAGATCAATAGGTACTGCTTCTGTGGGAAGGAAACAATGTTCCATGCAGTTATGCTGGCCACTTGACCTTGGAGGTGTCTATGGACAACACCAGCTCTTTGGCTTAGAAATGGAGATGAGCACCACTCCTGAGTCAGACATGGCTAGACTTAAAGTCAGGGGGAACTTTTACTTTTATGTTTACTGTGTTTGCATAGAAAACAAGGGACTCTTGAGTGGAGGAAAAATAAGGTTGTGGGCTCTAGACTCCACCAGTAAGCAGTAGCAAGCATCCCAGGACTTGAAACCTGCACGATATGGGTCCAGGTGGAGTATTATATTCAATAAGCCTCATGTAGACTCTTGACTCAATTGATCAGGACTCAGCCAACTATTACTTGGTGGACCTTTGACTCAAGCAACGTGAAGCGGGCAAGACGATATCTCCCAACCAGATGGCATTGACCTTAACAAGTCCTACACATTTTTATTTATTTAATGATGCCCTTCATTTTGCCTAGTGGATCTCAAGAACAGTTTACTCTTCTCCACAAACCAGTTAAAGAACCCTTCAGAAAGAACACTTCACGGCAGCAGAAGTGTACACCGTGACATTTAAATCAGGATGAGTGATATATTTTTGCTTGGCTTAATAAATGTGTGGCTGCTTTCTGGTGTTATTATATCTTGTTGTCTGGACAATATGACTACCCCTGGTTGCATAGTTTGAAACAAGTATGCTTTTGTACAGCTGCATGAGACTATTTAGATATGTGAAGGACTTATTGAAAGGCTCATACTATGTAAGAGAGAGATGTACCTAAACCCAATGTCACTCATTGAATTTGAATGATTAGAGATTCAGAACAGGTGAAACATTCTTCTACACAGTGCATAGTTAAACTGAGGATTTTGGAGTGGTAACTGCCAGCAAGATGAAGTGACAGATGCCAACATAGATTACTTTAAAAGGACATTGGATGAAGTTTTAGAAAACTGAGCTACCATGGCTACATTGCATGATATGTGTGTGTGTGTAGTATAATGGTTTGACTGTTGACATAGGACACTTGGAAGCTAGAGTTTAAATCTCCATACAGGTGTGGAAATCCATTGGACAAGTCATGTTCTCTCAACCTCAGAGATAGGCAAAGACAAACTCTCTTTGAATAATCTCTTTTGATAGGTCCATGCTTAGGGTTACTATAATACTATAAGTCACAAATTACCTGAAGGCAATATACAAAAATAGAGTCAATATGCAAATATCTATGACTGATTTAATAGATCTCTTAAAGTTAGGACAGAACACACAGTGTGATAGAGGACTGCAACCTCCCTCCCTCCCTCCTTTCCTTCCTTCCTTCCTTCCTTCCTTCCTTCCTTCCTTCCTTCCTTCCTTCATAATTTTATTTCCTACCTGCTTCTCCTCGTGGCTTGAGGTGAGTTACAGAACAATTAAAACACACAAACGCTACAAAAACACCACAAATACATATATTAAAACATACCTCTATAAAATCTACACACCAAAAACTACCTCTATAAAATATATATTAAAATACACAAAACAGAGATTAAACAAAGGACAACACATTTGAAATTCATACTTAAAGATTGTTTGGGTAGGGCTGCTGGATAAAATAGGTCTTTACGTGGTTTTTAAATTCCTAAAGCTCATTTAGCTGTTGGAGTTCTTCTGGCAGGTCATTCCACAGTCTTGGGGCAGCTGATAAAAAAGTCATCTAGGTGGCAGTTGCCAGTCGGGTTCTGGACCACAGAGGACCTCAGTGTTTGAGGAGGATTGTATGGAAGGCAATCCTTTAGGTAACCTGGACCCAAACCATGTAGGGCTTCAACACTTTGTACTTTGCCCAGAAACTAATCGGCACCCAGTGGAGTGACTTTAGGATAAGTGTAATATGCTCATTCCGATATATTCCTATAACCAATCTGACTGCCATGGAGTTTCTGAGCATAGTACAAGGGTAGCCTAATGTAAAACACATTGCAGAAGTCCAACCTTGGGGTTACCATTTTCAGGTCCTCCAAAACTAGGAAGGGGCATAGCTGGTGTATTAGTTAAAGCTGATAGTAAGCACTCCTGACT